TCAATAAAAGAAAAAAAAATCGGGGACAAATGTTGGACCAATTTCAACATCTAATTAAGTAGGCCCAAGCCCATGCAAGATCATCTTGAGCTCAACGTTGATCAGACCCAACAAGGTCGAAATGGTATCCCGAAGATCGCGGAAGCAGTTAGAAGAGGAGAAGGCTATAAAAGTAGAGCTAAAGCAGAGCACAAAGGCACGGAAAAATCCTAGAGCATATCACTAATCAAATCGACCTCACTCCATAGACTTCTAGTTTGCCTATAACTTTTACTTTTCATTGTTGTTCTCGATCTTGTTTACTACTTTGTGTCAAATCCCATATTCAATAAGTCCATTTTTTCAACCGAATTTTGATTGTATCGTTGTGTTTAAGAGCATCGTTACCCACATCATTTGTCTTCCTCAGATTAGAGATCACTACAAAATACTTAGTGTGGATTCTAAGATCTACAAAATTCGAGGACCATAAACATTTTCTAAAAAACTTATAAAGTTTTTTTAAAAAATATTGGGGAATTCATATTTATCTAAAATTTCCTCCCCGACAAAAACTTGAAGGTGAAAATCAATGTTTCATTGGGCTTCGCTCAAATTCAATCTTGAGAATATTGGGTCAGCAATGGATACTATTAAATGTTTTAAAGGTTTGGGTTCTACTTGCCCATTGGACATTGGATTCGTTAAAGAAGCATTGTCATTGTTAATTGTCATTGTTACATTTGTTAAAACAAATCCTTTTACATTATTTACGAAGTGATTTCGACACATGTCATATATAATCTCTTTCACTAAATTAATGTGACATGTTATACTAGAAAGATGACATGACTATAAGTTTAATATGACATGGACAATTACATTTAATGCGTATTTATATTTTCCTCTATGTCATGATTGATGATAGAAAGATAGTAACTTTCAGAAATACGAAGATGGAAGAAACGAATTCGATATTTATAACGACAAAGTAAACCGAATATTATCAACTGAAAGGGATAAAATCTCAATACTTCAGAAGATAAAAGATACCATAAATCCGTGGTTATCAACAGAGCATTAAAAAAAAACAGTTAAAGTACAACACGAGTTATCCGATTAAGAATAAAAAAAAAAAAAAAAGATAAGATCTAAGAATCAGCCCCGTCCTCCGAAGAAGATTCCCCAACCACCGAATCACCATAAACCTCGGGAAAATCCAAATCCGAGACAGTCCAATCCGGAACTGCAGCCCACTCGATGAGAAATTCACAATCCTTCTCCATCTCCCTAAGACGAGCCAACTCATCATCGATAACCAATCCACCATCCTTGATCTCATTAAGCAGGTCGATGTTCGTGATTACCTCCCGCAACAGGATCTCTGCATCACTTTCCTTCTTATTGTCCGACCATTTCTTCTCCACAAGGGACAAGACCTCCTTGCAGAGGTCAGCGATCTCGCGACTCAAAGCGCGAGATTCGCGACGGATATCCCACTCCCTCTTCCCAAAAAATTCTGCAACCAGGGTCTTTTGAGTAGCGACCTCGGTCTCAAATACCATCATCTCTTTGCAAGCCTCCCCCATTCATCCATCAGAAACGCAGCTTTCCCAGTCTTCTTCTTGAGGTCTTCCTTAACCTTCCGAAGCGATTCCCTAAGAATCTTTGCTTCAGCTCGTGACCTCGCCAACTCTTCTTCGCCGTGACCCTCAAACATCGCGACGAACTCGTCAACGGCAACCATAACCTGCAAAGTTCCAAGAACATCAGAACAAGATTTATTTCCTAAAAACGTGGCAGAAAAAAATATAAATTACCAAGGAATTGGCGTCCACGATTTTAGCATACGCCTCCCTCTCCTTGAGAGAAGCCGAAGGAAAAGCAGACGGACTCGGAGCTGATGTATCACGATTACGAAGCGAGGAGTTACCTCACGATGTCGGAGACACAATCTGCGACAATCGCCAATGCTTGCTATTATTGGCAGCAGAGTCCTCCTATGAACCAGGGCTCAGAGAGATGGGCAATCCTCCTGTCCCAGAAGTCCCCTCTACATCAGAAACCAGAACTGAAATCAAAGGCGATTCCTTGAGACCTCCGCTCCCTGCAACCGATCTGCGGTTCCTGAATGATGTTCTCCTAACAAACTGCCTATCCGATCTAGTAGAAGGAGGAGGACCACTAGAAGTTCCCGCAATGTCCTTAAGTTTGAACGAGCTCGCAGTAATAGCCGGCAGAAAAAAAGCAGCTTGGACTCGTTCGCGATCAAAGGACGACCAGTCCGGGCGATCTCGTCGTAACATCTTTAACAGACCTCGGAGCTCGTTCGACATCGCAGAGCTCCCGGAATACACTCAAGACGCATAAAACATTTTAAAAGATAAGATATCAAAAGATAATGATAATGCATGCAATAAAAGAGGCAAAAGAACCAGAACTAACCTATATCGTCAAGCCAAAGACAAGGAATCCTTGTGAAGTCAAAATCACCCGCTGACAAGTGATCGACCTTGAAGACAAAGAATCCTTCTCACCAATCTTGATCGCGGTATGGAATCCCTTGGATAACATGGCGTCCTACGCGCGGCGACATAAGGAAATTCCTCGGACTCTGATTGTTCCTCTTCAGCAAGGACAAGTGGCCCAACTCCTCTAAACCAAATCGTAAACCTTCTTCGAGAGCTCTAACCACGAGGGCCAAAAGGTGCCTCAAGAAGTTTGGGCACATCTCGGTTAGAGATATACCCAAATCAGCCACGATTTCGAGGGTTGGTCCTGGAATCGGGAAGAAAATACCCCAAGATTCAAAGAACGAGAGATACGCTTCACAAAACCCATCACAAAGGTTTTGGGGGTCTCGAGCGTGGAAGCTAGCTTGAGTTTTATTCCTCGATCAACGCCATATGTCGTGTATAAAACTTGAAGATGAACAGCATTGGTCGCTGGAAGAGGAAAAAAAAAATGATGTATCCATCTTTTCTTAAGAAGAAATCCAAAATCGTACAAGCAAGAGTTGAGAAGAGAAAGAAAGATTTAGGAGAGAAAGAAGAACTTCAAGTATTTAAAGGATATTCGCCGACTTCAAAAACGGCTCAATCATTAAAAACGATAAGATAATGATTAGGTTTCGCCTCGAGTGCGGCACAAATAGACGTTAGGAACAGGAGGCGCATGCCAACGTCCATATACGGGAAGGTGACATGTGTCAGATCCCTGTCGTCGCGGAAACTGAACCGCCTCTCGTCAATTGAGTCCGAATGGGCCGTCTTTATCTTTCAATAAAAGAAAAAAAAATCGGGGACAAATGTTGGACCAATTTCAACATCTAATTAAGTAGGCCCAAGCCCATGCAAGATCATCTTGAGCTCAACGTTGATCAGACCCAACAAGGTCGAAATGGTATCCCGAAGATCGCGGAAGCAGTTAGAAGAGGAGAAGACTATAAAAGTAGAGCTAAAGCAGAGCACAAAGGCACGGAAAAATCCTAGAGCATATCACTAATCAAATCGACCTCACTCCATAGACTTCTAGTTTGCCTATAACTTTTACTTTTCATTGTTGTTCTCGATCTTGTTTACTACTTTGTGTCAAATCCCATATTCAATAAGTCCATTTTTTCAACCGAATTTTGATTGTATCGTTGTGTTTAAGAGCATCGTTACCCACATCATTTGTCTTCCTCAGATTAGAGATCACTACAAAATACTTAGTGTGGATTCTAAGATCTACAAAATTCGAGGACCATAAACATTTTCTAAAAAACTTATAAAGTTTTTTTAAAAAATATTGGGGAATTCATATTTATCTAAAATTTCCTCCCCGACAAAAACTTGAAGGTGAAAATCAATGTTTCATTGGGCTTCGCTCAAATTCAATCTTGAGAATATTGGGTCAGCAATGGATACTATTAAATGTTTTAAAGGTTTGGGTTCTACTTGCCCATTGGACATTGGATTCGTTAAAGAAGCATTGTCATTGTTAATTGTCATTGTTACATTTGTTAAAACAAATCCTTTTACATTATTTACGAAGTGATTTCGACACATGTCATATATAATCACTTTCACTAAATTAATGTGACATGTTATACTAGAAAGATGACATGACTTATTGTTTAATATGACATGGACAATTACATTTAATGCGTATTTATATTTTTGGTAAAATATTAAGAATATGGTAATAAATTATACATCACCATTATAATATGTCTATTTAAAGTTAATATTAAATAATATAGTAATTAAAATGTAATAATATTTTACAAAATTTGAAATATTATTTATTTTTATTTTTTAGGATTATAACATTTTATTAATAAAAATTATTTTATTTTTTAATTTTTTAAAGAAAATTTAAATCATAATATTACTAATTTCTTTTATATATCTAATTATTTTTGAAATACTGTGTAATTGTACTTTTTGATAATTATAAATTTTCTATATCATTTTTTATTAATTTTCTACAAATTAATTTAATATATTTATCCAAAAAAATAGATAAACATATATTTAAAATTATAACTTTATATATATATATATATCAAGTTTTAATATAAATTAAAGGAAAAAAATTGTTTTTTCTAATTTTATGTTCAACTAAATCCAAAATTTATATTAAATACTGATTAAAATAATAAAATTTAAAATAATAATAACATTTTATTTTATAATTTAAATCTAAAATTTTATTAATGCACATGGTATAAGAAAATACGTAGTAAATTTAACATTTACAAAACGAAGAGATACAAATAAATAAAATGCGATTCCTCGTGTTTAGCTCGATGATTACACATAATTATAAAATTATATATTCTCCACATACAAATAAGTAACTGATAATCAACCACTCAAGTAAATTAAAGCCACCGACGATGGTTCCTTCCTTCGGGCACCTCCCACGCGCTGCCCCCACCAACAACCCAAAATGCTGCCCATTGAGCTGTAAATCACGTTACCCTACTACATTTCTTCGATTTTTCTCCACTAAAAATATTTATTTTATTTCCTTTTTCAGACAGTAGTAACGGTGCAATTCTTGGTGATAGCTATATGCTTGTTAAGATTCTTGTGTTCGAAGTTGATGTCACACTCGATTTTCTTGAGGAACTTAGGCTTCACTAACTTTCCCAACACGTAAGCTCGTGATCGAACAATGAAACCGAGCTTCATTGGCACTGGTGCAGGAGGTGCGGGCGGGTCAGGAATAACGACTGGAGCTCCTTTCTTCTTCTTTTTGGGTTTCGGAAGTGGAGCCAGAGGCGCTGGCGGTGTCAAAGTCGCACCACTTCCATATAAAGGAATCTTCTCTCCGGTTATATGTACCAACACTGTTCTCTGGCTCTTCCTTGACTGATAAAACTTCTTAATCTGCAAAATATCATAAATCAAACCCACCCGAAACAAATAAATCAGAAACCCAATTTTGTCTCATGACTCAAAGCTCAGACAATGTGCAGCTTCAGTTAGAACGGTTAGTCCTGTTTGGTTAATTCAGATTTCGGTTAGTTTGATTTGAACAAATTTCAACCGAACTGAACCAAACACAGATTCAGTTCCGTTTGTGGTAGTGCGTTTTGCAGTCAATTCGGTTTTTAAAAAGTTTGGTTCTTGGTTAGATACTAATTTAATTTTACTAAAATTTACGTCAATTTTGGACGACTTGGTCAATTTTCTATCAAACTTAATAGGGAAAATCGCATAAAAAACCTTTAAGGTGGCAATCACTTACACTTTAAACCATAAGAGTATTTTACAAGCACTTTAAACATTCAAGTTGGCAAATTTAGCATATTAAACCTCCAATCTGGCTTACTTGTACATCAAGTTAAAAATGTGACCGGTACTGTTCAAAAGCAATGACGTGGCGGTTCTTTTTTTTTTTAAATATTTTACTAAAAAATACGGTCTTTTAAGACACGTGTTGCCTCCTTCGTGTGTTCTTCTTCCTCCCCAAACGAATCTCCTCTCCACACAGGAATCCAAACCGCAAAGCTCCTCTCACAAACCCCACCAACAAGATATTCTGTCTCTAATCGCGGCCCTTCTCACTCTCTTACCGCTAGGATCTTGGTCAGGGCCTTTACTTTCTTAATTAGATTTAGATAAATGTTAATTTATCTATGGATTGATCCAAAGTTTGAATCTTGGGCTGGCTCTGATTATGGTGTAGGATGAGCTCCAATTTTGCCTGGTACACTTGATATCGAGTTAGAAGGAAGTGGTAAACCAGTTTCAGAAACAACGAAGGAAACGGAGAGAGCAGCAACTAAGGATTCAAACGGAGAACATGATCGGTAGAAGAGAGACTTGAGAATCTCAAAATCTGGTAGAAATATTATCTCTGGGTTTAGCTTTTGTTTTGTGAGGTTGGTCTCTGAAAGTGGGTTATTAAACTCGGTGGTGTATCTGAGTAGTTTGATAATGAAAAGGATTTGTATTATATTGGGAGTTTTAGGAGGTATGATGGCTTGGCTATCTATACCAACTTTGAATCCAAGGAACAAGACTTTGTCTTTGTAGCTGATGCTACTGGTAAAGTTGGCTCTAGGACTGTGAGGTTAGTTTCTTCTTGTTTTTTTCTTCACAAGTCTTACCTTTTGAATTCTTTTGTACATCTCTGCTAGCATGTTGATGTTTGTTTCCAAAAAAAAGAATAGAACTTGATGCATTTTGTAGTCACAGAGAAGTGGTTGTCTTATGAATATGTATCTCACTGAAATCTTATGTTTTTGTTGTATTATAGACTGAACAAGTTTGATTATAGACTTTCAAACAAGTTGAGTGATGACTTGCAAAACCTAAGATGTAGAGTAAATTACCATGCTCTCAAGTTCACTGATCCTATACTTAAGGCAAAACGATAATGGCTTTGTTTGCAGGTTTTAGCCTGATATCCTTGCCTTCTCGGGATGCTATTATGGTGGTGGTGATAAGGAAAGGACAGAACTTGCAGCAATCAGAAGGACCTTTGGCTGCATACTCTTCGAGTGACAGAGTCTACCATTCTCATCAGTCAAGAAGGTTGTAATCTTGTGTATCAAAATGTGTAGTCACGAGACTTGTGTAGTCACTTGTATACCATTGGGTGTTCTCTATATAAAGTTTGTATTGTCAAACATGTTGAGCATTAACAAGTTCATCTTCTCTCGTTCTCTCCAAACAAAACAACCATACACATTTCGATCAGAACGACCAAACACATTTTGATCACATTTTTCTCTCATGTGCTATTCATCTCACCAAACAAACAAAGAAACCAAACACATTTTCATCCAAACAAGTCCATGTTCTCTCCTTCTCTTGATCACAAATTTTTATCACAAAACAATCATTTTTTTTAAGAACTCTTAAATAAGAAACTTGCATTGGAAGACATAAATATTTAGATCTCTTGAATATGTTTCTTAGCCTCACATTTATTACTAATACTATTAAAAAAATATCAAGATATCTATTTTGAGTCTTTGGGATAAAGATGCTTTAATGATCTAACTCATACTACTGATCTGTTTGTGCTAAGACCATCCTCAACGCAGGACCTTAATGTGGTCCTTAACACAATTATATGAATTAATGAAATCAAAACAAAAGAAAAAAGAGATAGTCGATCACTAATTAGTGATTTCGGTGACCGATTACAAGAAGGGTTATAGAGACATATGTCAACATAGGAGGCAAAGGTACTTTTTGTTTCTATTTTCTTTTCTTCTCTCTTTCTTTGTTTTCTCCGTCAGAACAGAGGAAGAAGCGAAGCGATGCTCCGGGAAAACCCACGACCCAGCCTCCACCACAGTCGTTGTTCTGGTATTCTCCGTCACAGAGCAGGGATCGACCCCCCCTCCCCAATCGAAACCCAGCACCGATCGATGGTGTGTCTAGGCTTGAGCGGCTGCACCGATCGATGGTGTCTCCAGGCTTGAGTGACTGCCTTCTCACCTCGCCGTCTTCTCCGTGAGCTTGTAAGTGATATTTGGATCTCTGTGAGCTAGTTTGTTCTTCTCCTTGCATGTGTGTTTTTGTTGTGGTTGGTCTCTTGGGTAATGGTTTTGTTGCTATGTTTAGATACGTAGCTGAGGACTGATTGACGAGTTCCTCAAGACTGTGAAAGTGGATGGAACAACAGAAGATCTTAAGAATCGTCCATTCATGGAAGGTCTCGGCGGCGATGTAGCTCCATCATCGCCACTTGTCCTCGTTTCTCAGGGTTGATTCATTTTCATGACTTTAGTGATTTAAATGATATATCTGTTGCGAAAATACTGTAACTTTGTATCATATAAACTGATGATATGTGTGTGGTCACTAGCAAGTAACAACCTTTATAGCTTTTGATTGTTTCTAACTGTGGCCTTTGTTGAAATAAACCCAAAGTCTTTCCTTTTATGTCTTGATGCCTTCGTGTTGGATTGTTTGTGACTTTGTGTATTTCGAGTTATGAGCTTTGTAGCATCAATGGATATGAAAGTCCTGAGAGGTTTACTCTGTTAAAAATCGTTTATTTTTTTATTTGTATGTTCAAAACGTGTTGGTGTGTGGTCGCTAGCAACCTTGATTGTTTCTCATAGTACCCATTGTTGAAATGAATCTTTAGCTGTTTGCTTCTGTGGGGTTTTGTATACTGCAATGTTTCAACATGTAATTTGTGATGTTGAGAACGAAATGCTTGTCTTGGTGTACGCTTTCACTTATGCATGTGTTATTCTTCTTTAATACTGAGAATTGTTATGTGTGTATTTGATTCAGGGAATTGCAACTGCTTTTGAATTTTCATTTTTTTAATATTTCTAATTGCGTCTTCTTCATTTTACAGAATTGGCGGTGTAATATTATCAGCGTATGCCTTTCATTGCTCCTCCTCTTTCAATTTTATTCATCTTAAATGTAGTATTTGAAAGTAATAAACTTTCTCACCTCATCCTTCTTTCAATTTCATTAATCTTAAATTTTGTATTTGATAGATAATTTAACTCTGTATTTTAGCTTTGACAGGGAGGGACTTGCGACATTGACTTTGAGCTCGACAGTCAACCACTTGAGAGTCTCGGTAAGTTTCATTTCTTTCGTAATTGATATTGGGTAGATAGTAGTTAGATTAATAAATGCTTGGTTAGTGAATGCTTCTGTGATGATGGTTGTTAGGTTGTGGTTAGTGTGAATGGTTTTGTGTGATGTATGGTTGTTAGATAAATGTCTTCTCATAACAATTACTCAACTCAACGAGTATTAAAACCGGATGCTTTGTTCATTTCTTTTCATCTTCTTTCCTCTTTCTCGAGAAACATTTCTTGTTCTTTCACTCTTCTCTGCCATTCTAGGATATGGATTCTCAGCCCTCAAATTTTATTGATCTGTTGAACAGTCAACAAGACACTCCCTTTCCTTACGCGAGTTATTCAGTCGGTGGGTCTCACGGATCATCAGAAATCCGTTTTTATAGTACTCAAGCACCTGTAACTGCAACGTCAAGCTTCTGTGAGGACTCATCCACACAGAGCAAAGGAAGAAAGAAATGGAGAAAGAAATGGAAAGGGAAATATTCACGTGGTTCGGGAAAACCCACAATTGTTTTAGAGGCGGTTGCTTCGTATGATCTCTGGATATGGCATGCGTTTTTTGGACCTCCAGGTACCCTAAATGATATCAATATTCTTGATCGCTCACCTGTTTTTGATGACATAATAAAAGGTCAAGCTCCGCAAGTCACTTTTTCTGTCAATGGAAGAGAGTATCATTTGGCTTACTATCTGACCGACGACATTTATTCAAAATGGGCAACTTTTATCCAATCTATTCGAATGCCAGAAGGACCGAAAGCGGCTTTACTTGCTCAAAAGCAAGAAGCTGTCCGAAAAGATGTCGAGCGTGCTTTTGGAGTCTTGCAAGCTCGGTTTGCCATTATTAAAAATCGGCACTTTTTTGGGATAAAGTCAAAATTGGAAAAATTATGAGAGCATGTATCATACTCCATAATATGATAGTAGAAGACGAACGAGATGGATACACTCAATTTGATGTTTCAGGGTTCCAACAAGCCGAGGACCACACAAGTTCACATGTCGATCTCACTTATTCTATAGATATCCCTACAAATATCGTCAATATGATGGGTGTTCGAACTAGAATTCGTGATAGAAAAATACATGAACACCTGAAAGCTGATTTGGTTGAACATATATGGTGTAAATTTGGACGGGACGAAGACAACAACTAAGCTCGGATGTTTTTTTCAAATTATGTTTTTAATGTATGTTTTTTTAACTTTTTTAAAATGTATGTTTAAATGTTATCTTTTAATGTATTTTATTTAATAAATAAAATTTGTCTTTAAAAAAAATTAAAAAAAAATTAAGAACCCCTACTTAAGAAACTTCCATTTGACCACTCAAAATGGGAGTTTCTTAACGAAGGTTCTTAAACCCACTAAACACATTTATTTGCTTAAACAATCCTTAAGCAACCCACAATAAGAAACATGGGTTAAAGGTGCTCTAACCACATTATGTTAATAGAAATACTTACTATCAAGCAACATAATAAATATTAAAAGTAAATGAAAAAAATAAATTGTTTCAGCCGTAAAGAAGGATTATTTGTATCTCGAAAAATTGTTTTTAAATTAGCAATGTTTTTATCTTGCTAATTAATCTAGTTTGAAAACTAATAATATAAAGTCCACAATCGTATAATTGCGTACGCGTTTGGGTTAATACTATAACAAAGCATCGCCTTAAAATCCTCACATTAAGACATCGTTACATTAACATGCTTTGCTTTCCTTTTTAATCCTTCTCCCTCCATTTCCACTGCTCAGAGGAAGCTCTCCAAGTTGGAGATGCACGCCCAAAACCAATTCCGAGGTGACGAGCATCGCGGCGTCGTCACCAGCCAGATCTCCTCGCTGACCAGTCTACTATGTCCAATCACCGTCTCGTGACTCTCAGGACGGAGAGAAAACGGCGGCGTCGTTCCACTCAACTCCGGTGCTAAGTCCGATGGGATCTCCGCCGCATTCTCAATTCTCCAAGGGTCGTCACTCACGAGAATCCTCCTCTACCCGATTCTCCGGGTCTTTAAAACCCGGGTCTCGGAAAGTCAACGACGGGTCGAAGGGGAAAGGACACGGCGGGGAGAAGCAGTGGAAAGAGTGTGCCATGATTGAAGAAGAAGGGCTGTTAGATGATGGCGAGAGAGATCGTGGTCTTCCTCGTCGGTGCTATGTCTTAGCCTTCATCGTTGGGTTCTTCATACTCTTTGGCCTCTTCTCTTTGATTCTATATGGAGCTGCTAAACCTCAGAAACCAAAGATCACTGTCAAGGTTTGTTTTCAACTTTTTTCAGATCTGATCCAAAGTTTCAATTAGATTTTTTTTTTCAGATCTTCAAACTTTGCAGAGTATAACATTTGAGACGCTTAAGGTCCAAGCTGGTCAAGATGCTGGAGGAGTAGGAACGGATATGATCACGATGAACGCGACTCTGAGAATGTTGTCTAGGAACACGGGGACTTTCTTTGGTGTCCATGTAACTTCAACTCCAATCGATCTCAGTTTCTCTCAGATGAAAATCGGATCTGGATCTGTAAGTCCTACCTAACTTGTTTATGTTGAACAATTAGCCCGCCCTCCGTAAATTAACCGAAACTATGGAACCGAACATGAATTTGGGTTTTGGTTCAGGTTTGGTAATGACTTCTGAACCCATTGGCATGTTTGCAAAATAATTAGGTTATCGGTTTAGTTTAGTAGTCGGTTCGTTCCATGTGTCAACCAAATCATACAGATATAAACCAAACCAACTTAATCATATTAAGTTTGGGAAAATCGCATAAAAAACCTTCAATGTGGCAACCACTTACACTTTAAACCTTGAGAGTATTTTACAAGCACTTTAAACATTCAAGTTGGCAAATTTAGCATATTAAACCTTCAATCTCGCTTACTTGTACATCAAGTTAAAAATGTGACCAGTACTGTTCAAAAGCGATGACGTGTCGGTTATTATTTTTTTTAAAAAAAAAAATTTACTAAAAAATAAATATAAAAATACAGAAAATATAAAAATTATATTAAAAATCATTAAAAATTGAAAAAAATCATAAAAATTTCAAAAAATCAAAAAAATCATAAACATTAAAAAATCACAAAATAATTAAAATATTTTATTAATAAAATATTAAAAATAAGAAAAACTTGAAAGAAATTATAAAAAAAATCTCAAAATAACAAAATTCAAAAAAATTTAAATAAAATAAAAATGAAATTTAAATAAAATTAATATAAGAATAATAGATAAAATAAATATAAATTCAAGAATAAATAATTTTATTTATTTTATAAAAAACGAGAAAACACTATAATTTTTTAAAAAAAGAATCATTATCACCTAGACTTTCACCTGTATAAGTTTTTTTAAAAAAATATATTGTTATTTGTTTTTCGTGTCACTATTATATATTATATATATGCCATCATATAATTGAATGTATATGATATATACCATCAGATGATTCTTGTGAACCAAATTAAAGGAAACAAGTTAAAATCCAAATCTTTTAGCAGTTATTAAAATACCCTATATTAATCTAGTTATAAAATCCAGAAAACCTTGACTAATAAGCAACAAAATGAGAACAAAATGACTTGGAATTTAATTTGTTTGCTTTAATTTGGTTCACGAGAATCATTTGAAGAAAATGATTCTTTTTTTAAAAAAAAATATAGTGTTTTCTCGTTTTTTATAAAACAAATAAAATTATTTATTCTTGAATTTATATTTATTTATCTATTATTCTTATATTAATTTTATTTAAATTTCATTTTTGTTTTATTTAAAAATTTTTGAATTTTCTTATTTTGGGATTTTTTTATAATTTCTTTTAAGTTTTTCTTATTTTTAATATTTTATTAATAAAATATTTTAAATATTTTGTGATTTTTTAATGTTTATGATTTTTCTGATTTTTTTGAATTTTCTGATTTTTTCAATTTTTAATGAAGTTTTAATGAATTTTTATATTTTCTGTATTTTTATATTTATTTTTTAGTAAAATATTAAAAAAAAAAAAACCGACACGTCATCGCTTTTGAACAGTACCGGTCACATTTTTAACTTGATGTACAAGTAAGCCAGATTGGAGGTTTAATATGCTAAATTTGCCAACTTGAATGTTTAAAGTGCTTGTAAAATACTCTTAGGGTTTAAAGTGTAAGTGGTTGCCACCTTAAAGGTTTTTTATGCGATTTTCCCGTTGTTTTCTATTAAAGCTAATTTTCTTTTTAATTGTAATAATATTAAGATACGTGGGTAAACATCCGCGTTAAAGATGCTCTTATTATTACTAATTTTTTGAGGAAATATTTCCACCAAATATAACTAAAATATTATAGGGAAACTGACAAAAATTATTTCTAATAGAATAGTCTTTTCAAAAATAATATTTGAAAGATTATTCATCCACTTGTCTCTTTTCTAATAGTGCAATAGTGTTATATTTTTAGTAACTAGATCTTGATTCGTGCAATCGCGCTGGTGTTTTTCGGTTTTATAAACATATATATTTATTTCAGTTCATTAGTGATATACAATTTTAAGGTTAAGAATATATTTAAATATTAATATATCTATTTCAAATATAATAATTTTATAGTTTACATGGTGTAATTAATCAATAGTTTAAAACCACCACATATATATGTCGTTCTATTATATATTTATGTTAATGTATTTTGATTTAGTTATTAAAAAATTAATTTATGCATGAAACAACATATTTGAAAATGATTTTGTATCAAATTTATATTCACTTCTTTTCTGCCAACCTTCAAAGTCGTATTTCTTTTTATTAATATTTTTCACGTTTAATCATTTAAAAATAATATTCTTTGTATATACAGAAGTCTAAGATATGTCAATTTTGTACATGTGTCATATAGTTTGCGAATTTTATGTCGTTATGTCACCGTATCATATTTTTAGCATAATATTTTATATTTATGAAAATAAAATTATACATTTATCAATTTAACATAATTTATGATATCTAATTCAATATAATAATTTTATTTTGACATGAATTATTATTATAAAATAGATAAAAATAAGATATAATTTTTACGTTTCATTTTATAAATGATAATTGAATATATATTAGTGCATAATAATAGTTCATTGCTAATTACAAAATTAGTTAACATATTAACATAAATTTCCTGAAAATTAAGATATTGTTAAAATGATTTTCAACAAACTTGTTAGAATTATATATATATATATATATATTAAAATAAAAAGATATCATAATTAAAATAGTTACAAATATTTTATATTATTAGCTTTAATGAAATACACGTTAACTTTTATACATGTTATATATAGTTTGCGAATGTTAACCCATGTTACCAAAATATTATATTTTGAACATAAATACTTCTGAAAATAAATTATATAGATTTAATAATTTAATACAATTTATTATATTTAGTTAAAACTTTTATTTTACATTTTATAAAATATATTAATGTATAATAATATTTTAAAACTAATTAAAAATTATTAAAATATTTACTCAGGATTTTTGAATATTAAGATCTTGTCAAAATATTTTAAACAGATTTGTTAGATTTAAAAAAAAAAAAAAATATATATATATATATATATATATATATTTAAAATGAAAAGATATCAAAAGATATTATGTTTAAAGTAGTTCAAAAGATGGTACAAATTAAAAAAAATATATATATATGAAAGAAGTCATGATTTCTATTTTAATAGATAAAATGTTTTTTTTTTGTCAACACCCATTTTTAAAGATCAAGTGGTAATCGAATTTGCGTCGTTCCGAAGATACGCTCGGTCCGACCGGGTCTGATCAACATGGGAAATGAGAGTGCTGTTACTTCTCGCCATTTTTGCTAGGGCGTCCGCTCGTGCGTTCCTCGCTCTAGGAATATGGGAGACTGAAACCCGAAAAACAGTCTCGTATGAGACGGAATGAGACCAGCTTCGAAGCAAAGGCTGGCCAGTCGATTGGACTCGCAATCATGTTCACCAAATCAGAACAGTCTGTATGTACATGTATTGTGGTCACTAACAACACACGTAAGAAAGACATCGCCCAAATAAGTCATTCCATCTCCACATGGAGTGCCGAGAGGCTTTGCCAACATCCTTTGCCAACATCCTTGAAGTCCAAAATGTTCTACACCCATTTGATCCCTATAGGTCCAACCGAGTCCACTGACCAAACCATGATTGACCCATGAGGCATCAATTTGGCAGGTTAGGATCTGGTTGTCTATGAGTGAGGTCGAACTGATAGCTGGGACATATGGTCTCACATATGGTACATCATCTTCCTCTTCTTCCTCTTTGAGGTTTTGGAACTCTCCAACATTTTGTTTCTGTCTTAGCTAACTGAGTCAATATGTGAGACTTCTTTTCTATTAAACACTTTATCATTTCTTGCTTTCCAAATAAACCACAAGATTCACGAATAGGTTTCAGTAAGTGGTTCTAAATAGGCCACATCTTTTTTCCTCCAAAAAAGGAAATCCATGTTTTGATAAACCGAGGTACCCGGGAAGAAACCTAGATGGGACATATAGTCCGATAAGGCCAACACCTGCAATGCAGAAGGGCATTCAAAAAGTAGGTGATTTATGGTCTCCTCTGAGCCATCGCATCTAGGACAGCTCCTATCGGTGCCCAGGTGTCTAAAGGCTAGTCTTTTTGTAGTCGCAATACATCCTGTCAACGTTTGCCATATAAAATGTTGCATCTTCCCCGGGGACCTAACCTTCCACACATGGCTCTGTAAACCAGTGATACTAGGTTGGGTAACTTGGTCATGTGTATCATTAAGTTTATTTTTTCGTAGTAAATCATATCCAGAATTTACTGAGTGAACTCCATATTTTGTATGGTTCCATGCATAACCGTTCATGGACCACGTGTTGCTAGGTCTCAAACCGAGAATATAATGGATATCCTCCAGGTGGAAATAATCGTGTAAGAGAGGTATATCCCAATCCCTTGTATCGCACCAAACAAAGGAGTGAACAAGGAGTTTTGGGTGTCTGAAAGTCACTCGATCCGAGGGTGTTGGAGGACGAGTGACAATGTCTGGAATCCACGGTTCAGTTCATACCCTGGTATTAAGACCCGTTCCAATAGTTTTCCGTAAGCTGGATTTTAGGAGTGGTCTCGCTGCCATCATGCTTCTCCAACCATATGATGGTGAGTAGACTTTTTTGTCTTCCAAAGGACATGATCAATTGTAATATCTTCCTTTAAGAACTCGAGCGAGAAGTGAGTTTGGGAACTGAATAAATCTCCATAATTGTTTTGCTAATAAAGCCACATTTAAGTCGTGTACGTCTAGAATACCAAGTCCACCTTGATCATGAGGGGCACAAACTTTGTCCTATGCCATCCAGTGGAGGCCCCAGTTATTTTGACTTGAACTCCACCAAAATTTAGAAATCGTTCCTGTTAATTTATCCACAACTCCTTGAGGTAATAAGTAACATAACATAGGATACGTTAGTACTGCTTGAGCCACAGCTTTGATTTGCACCTCTTTTCCACCTTTTAAAAGTAGTTTTGCCGACCATGAATTGACACATCCATTAAGGCGATCTTGAACATTGGAAAAAGTTTTCAGCTTAAGAACCACATATTTGTTCTGGTAGTGCTAAGTACATCCCCATTCCTCCTTCAGTTGAGATTCCAAGAGTGCTTTTTATATTTTTTCACATTATGCTCCACTTTATTTCCAAACATTAATGAGGACTTAGATGAATTTAATCTTTGTCCCGATGCTTTTCCGTAAGAGTTTAAAATGTTGAGAATTTCCGAGCATTAACCCACTTCTGCTTTACAGAAGAATAAGCTATCATCCGCAAAAAGAAGATGAAATATCCGCGGACTAGTCCGGGCCACCCTTAATCCCATAATGCAATTTTCTAATTCTGCTCCTTTAATGGGGAGATCAAAGCTTCAGTGCACAAGATGAACAAATAGGGGGAAAATGGGTCTCCCTGTCTTAGTCCTCTCGTGGGAGTAATCTTTCCCCTAGGTTCCCCATTAATGACCACCTGGTAAGATACCGATGTCACACAAAACATCAATAAGTCCACCAACTTATCCGAAAAGTCCAAGCGTAGCATCAGGGTTTTTATGAAACCCCATTCTACTCTATCATAAGGTTTATTCATATCCTTCTTAATGGCTATGAAGTCTTGTCTACATCTTGGGTTAGTACGGAGAGCGTGAAAATTTTCTTGCGCTATTAGGATATTATCCGTGATTAAGCGTCTTGCCACAAAGGCCGACTGTGTCTCTGAAATGAGATCCGGTAGGACCTTCTTGATTCTCTTGCTCAAGAGTTTCGAGATGATTTTGTAACTGACGTTACAAAGACTGATTGGTCTAAACTCCGCCATCTCCCTCGGTCTCTCTTTCTTTGGGATGAGACATATATTTGTCTGGTTAATTCTAGGTTCAAAACATCCCGTGTCAAAAAAATTCTTTCACCAAACGGATAGTATCTTTGCTCATAACCTGCCAAAATCTCTGGAAAAGTCTGCTAGTCATGTCATCAGGTCCTAGGGCTTTGTCTGACTTAATGTCAAAGAACGCTCTTTTAATTTCTTGCTCCAATGGTACTTCAGTTAGAAAATCATTTGTAGCTGGTGAGACTTTATTTGTTATAAAACGTACGCAAAGAGGTGGAAAAGAGATCCTGAAAAATAGTTAACGACAACTTTTTCTATCCCAATATCACTTTCCACATAGATAAGATGTTTGTACATACATTATATATATTGGTTGAATTATTTAAATATATTCAATATTTTGAACAATACGATGGTTTACATTACCACTATGTATAATTTATTAAGGAATTAAATATATATTTGTTAACCAATCCGGTTTTATAGGAATCGATTGTTATATTAAGAATGAAATATTATTAAAAATAAATGAATGATAACTGATTTCTAATGAGGGTCTATTTTAAAAACATCACACATGAATCAAAATTGTTATTTATGTTTTAATATAAGATAATCCTAGTTTTCTACCCACAAACAAAAAGTAAATTACTAATTAGTGGAGTATCAGTTTGCCAAAGAAAAAAAGGAAACTGAAGCACCGACAAACAAAAACAATAAAATCTAAATACCAAGATTTTCTATTGTTCTAACTTCTAAGATTACAAACTGTTCAACGGAGTAAAAAATGTTTATAGATTAATTTTCAATTTAAGTGATCAACTCCGCGCAACCGTGTGATGTTATTTTCAATTTTGTATGCATATATATTTATTTTTGTTCATTAGTGGTATATATTTTTAATTTTAATCATATATTTAAATATTTATATAACTATTTCAAATACAAGAATTTATAGTTTACATGTTGTAAATAACCAATTGTTTAAAAACGTCACATATATTTATTATTTCTTATTAATTTTTATCTTATTGTATTTGTATTTAGTTATTTAACAGATTTGTTTTAACATATTAATAAGTGTTTTAAAATTAATTTGTATTTAATATATGTTAAATTTTTACTCGTTCTTCAAAACTAGATTTTCTTTTAGGAATATTTAATTATTTATTCATTTTAGATAATATATTATTGTAGATATAAAAATCTAAAATATGTTAATTTTTATATATGTATTGTAATCTGTCATCATAATATATATTAATATAAATATTTTATATTTATAAAAATAAACTTTATAAATCTATCAAGTTAATATCATTTTACAATAAGTAATTCAATATAATAATTTTATTTTAACATGATTGATTATTATGATTATAAAATAGATAAAAGTAGGATTTATTTTTGAAATAATATTTATAAACAAAAAATTATGTATATTAATGCACAATAGTAGTCCATTTCTAATTACGAAAGTAGTGAAATATCTACATACAATTTTTTGAAAATTAAGATATTGTTAAAATATTTAAATCAACATTATAATTTTCTTTTAATATGATTGTTTGTGATTATATAACAGATAAAATGTGATAGAATATTTATATTTCATTTTATAAACGATTATTGAATGTATTAATTTACCCTAATATGTTAAAACTAATTACAAAATTATTTAAAATATTTAATTTTAATTTGTGTAAATTAAGATCTTGTTAAAATCTTTGAAAGAAATTTTTTGAACTTTTAATAGAAATAAAAAGATTTCAAAAGATATTATGATTAAATTAGTTCAAAAAATCTATATATTTTATTTTTTTTAACATATATTTAATTAAAAAATTAAGAATGATCCAATTTGAAATCATACACTTTTATGAAGCTGCAACTTCTACTTTTATAGAATAGATGATATATAGACTTGGATGTTGTTAAGTTTATCTTTATCATCTTTATCCTATCAAACTATTGTAGAAAACATGAACGGAAGTTGTAGTTTCACCATTATCCTATCAAACAAATATATATGTCATAAAAGCTATATTTTCTTTTTAGTGTAACTACAATGATATAATTAATAATTAAGTGGTGAGTTTCATGGAAGAAGCATGTAATAACAGTCGATGGTAGAATACAGACATGCTCCAGTTGGCGCCTTGACGGTCAACCTCTTCTATAATGCCCTGACCGTCTACAGTTAACGGGTCATCCACGTCCGCTTTCTCAGCCCATGGATTTCATTCCGTTTCAATGGTCGGTTCGTTAATTTTTCAAAGTTCTAGAGTCATGTTTACTGACCCTGCAATCACCACATGACCTTTCCCCGTATTTTGATCCCACTTATACGATATCGTAAATCACTTCCCGATAAGTCACCCATCTTTACACTACTCTAGCTCAAACACGCTTAACTCTAGAGTTCTCTCTGGATGTGCTCCCGAAAAGGTAAGTGCACTTTGTTGACATAGGTAGCTAAATCAATCCTCTTAAGCCTTTCAATATATCACAACTCGAGATGTTACCTTTTCTTTTGTATTTCCTTTTTCTCTCTGTTTCAAAATATATTCACACATTGTCATGTTTCATCATGTAGTATATAAAGTTGGATCAGATAAAGACTTGAATAAGTGATAGGGTTGACGTCAATTGACCCCCTGTACTATACGCACCAACACTCGATCCACCCAGACTTTCAAGCTCTTCAATTAGCCTCATAAACTATTCTTTTCACCAATTGTCTCCAATTTTGAACAGATTACATAAATCACGTTTAATAACTAAAAAGGCGTTTAGTTAAAAACGATTTCCCAATTAAAAACCCAATTACACATAACCCGACTTTAATTTTTGCTTATATCCGACCCAGATTGAAAGTCGAAAAGAAAAAAAAACGGGATAAAACAAAATCGATTTGGGGCTTAGGGTTTTTCGTGTGACTTTTGGAGAAGAGATTCAGAAATCAAATTGGTACGTAAGAGATGAGAAATCACGGGTCGACTTCTAGGCGACATGTTAATGGAGTTCTGACAAACTGTTGGTGTGGGAGAAACCTTGACATTTTTGTGTCCAAAATGAAGGAGAATCCGTACCGTAGATTATATCGATGTGTAATATACATGTAAAGTTGTTTGGTTTTGTTTAGATGAGGTGTTTAGGATTGATAAGTTGTTTGGTTTTGTTGCAGAGAAAACATGAAGATCATCTCTTCAAATGGGAGGATGAGGCGTTTCTTGATGAGATTCATATGCTTCATGAGCAGCTGAGTAGGCTTGAAGACCATGTCGAGAAATTAAAGATGATGAAGACCAAAGAAGATGTATCTGTTGGCTGTGTTGGAACAATTAAATGGCTTTGTGGAAAGCTTTGTAATCGAGAAGAATGATGGATAATGTTGTAACTGTGTGTCTGAGAATGATGCAAGACTGATGTTGTAACTGCAAACCTTAAGCGATTTTCTGGGTTTATCACTTGTTGATCATCATCTCTTAATAAAAAAAGTAGTAAGATAGTCATCAAACACACTGAAATTTAAACACAACGAAGAGAGTTGAACACAAATTGAGTTTGAAACCCAGAACAACTTTTGGTTAAACAGGGAAAACATCCATACAAACCGCACCTAGAGTTACTAAAAGTTAGAAAAAACAGGGAAACAATTTGCAATAGCATAAAACCACATCCTAGACTTCATCTTCCTCCTTAGTCTTCACTTGTTTGAGATAGCTGTGTCATCTCTTCTCCTTGACAAGTGCTTCCTTATTCCTAAAACAAAGATAAAATGGTTAGAAAGTAATACCATAGTTAATTCAACATGAAGATGATGATGACTTTTATCCGAGAGACAGAAAACGCAAAAGGTCAGAGGATAAACTTGATGTGGGAACAGTTTTCTTCTCTGGTTTTGAGTTCAAAGAGGAAGTGTTACATTATGCTTTGTGCAAAGGGCGAAATATAGAGCAAAGTAGATGGGATAAACGAAGCTTAGCTTTAAGTGTGCGATGAAAGGAAAGTGTAAATGGAGGGTTTATTGTGCTTTTGATGAACCCACTCAGTAGTGGTTGGTGAAAAATTGGTACATATATCACAGCTGTACACCAAATGGAAAGTGCAAACTGCTGAGAAGTCCAGTAATAGCAAGATTGTTCCTTGATAAACTGAAGGAGGATTGCAATTTAATGCCTGAAAAAATTCAAGAGATAATCAAGGAGAAGTGGAAGCTAATACTTTCAAGGAATCAGTGTCAGGGAGGAAGGACTTTGGCTTTGAAATGCCTTTAGCCGGAGTATGCAGACCATTTCACACATCTTTGAGGTTATGCGAGTGAGATTCGAAGAACCAATCCAGGTACGAGTGTAGTCCTTGAAACCCTTTCTAATGTTTCTGGAGAAGATATGTTTGATCGGTTCTACGTTTTCTTTGAGAAGCTTAGAAACTTGTGGAGGGGAATTTTTAGACCTATTATAAGTTTCGATGGAACATTTCTCAAGGCTGCAGTGAAAGGCATATTACTTACTGCTGTAGGACATGACGGAAATAACCAGATTTACCCATTTTCTTGGGCTTTGGTACAAGGTGAGACAGCTGATACATGGCTCTGGTTTAACAAGCAACTCAAACGTGATCTGAAACTTAGAGATGGAGAGAAGTTTGTACTTCTATCGGACAGCTCAAAGGTAATAATTCACCCTTTAAATGCATTGTTTTATCCTATATTAATTGTGAATGTCTAAAATTTTATAATTATAATTGTAGGGTCTCATAAACGTAATTGAGTCCAAGTTACCAAAGGCTGAGCACAAAAGGTGTGTTAAACACATTGTTGAAAACTTGAAGAAGAAGCACATGAAGAAAGATCTTTTCAAACCGATGGTATGGAATCTAGCTTGGAGCTACAAGACTACTCAGTATCAAGAGAACCAACAAAGATGCAGAACTATAGTATGTCACTCTTTGATGATGTTATGAAACTAAAACCGAAGACCTGGTGTCTGCCTTTCTACAAGCTTTGCAGCTGTTGTGAGGACGTTGATAACAACACAACTGAATAATTCAACACCTCCATTACTGGAGCTCGAGCAAAGGTTGTACCTATGTTGGAGACCATCCGAAGGCAAGACATGATCAGAATTGCAAAGAGAAAAAAGAAGTCTCTTAGGCGCAATGAGAGGCTTACCAAATATGTGGTGAACATGCTCGAGTCTTAGAAAGAAGATGCTAACAAGTGTACAACGACTCCTGGAACTCATGGTGTGTTAGTCTTTCATGACACACATATGACGTAAACACCAATAAGATGACTTGTACATGCGGGAAGTGGCAGATAACTGGTATACCATGTGAGCATGCGTATGGTGCGATGATAGATGTTGGATTAGATGTTGATGACTACGTTTCTGAGTTCTTCTCAACAGATATATGGCAATACACTTATAGTGAGTCTATCAGCACGGTTAGAGGTCCACGTTTCTTGATGAAAAAGAATAAGTACAAGTTGATTGTAGAAGCACCCGAGCCTACACTTCCTGGTAGGAAGAAAAACAACAAGAAAAAGAAGTATCCAAGAATGAAAAGTAAATATGAATCACCAAAGAAGAAGAAGAAGGAAGTAGAGACTCTTGGAAGAAAATGTCGCACCATGCATTGTTCTAAATGTGGAGAAACTGGTCATAATGTTAGAAGCTGGTATTATCTACTCATTTCACTGAATTAACTATAATTGTACTGAATTTTGGTATTACTTTCTAACCATTTTATCTTTGTTTTAGGAACAAGGAAGCACTTCTCAAGGAGAAGAGATGACATAGCAATCTCAAACAAGTGAAGACTAAGGAGGAAGATGAAGTCTATGATGTGGTTTTATGCGGTTATGCTATTATAAGTTGTTTTCTCTGTTTTTTATAACTTGTAATAACTCTAGGTGCGGTTTGTATGGATATTTTCTCTGTTAAACCGAATGTTGTTATGGGTTTCAATCTCAATTTGTGTACAACTCTCTTCGTTGTGTTTAAATTTCAGTGTGTTTGATAACTATTGATATCACTCAAATATTTAACCCTAAGGAGTGAATTACTCTCTCAAATAAGAGGTTCAGTTGTAGTACTTAGGGATCGAATCTACGAGGAGCTAAGGAACCTAATAGATCTAATAGTTATAAGATTAAACTAGGCTAATAAGTTTTAATGCAGTAAATAAATTAGTAAACTAGAAAACAGTAAACAAGATGAACAAGGTAATTGTTCAGCTTGGCAAGGATTTGTTTTATGAAAGGATGGTTGCTAGATCTAGGGTTCCTATTCAGGTAATCAGGATTATAATGCTATAGATGCCTAACAAGTTGCATGCATGATATTAAAGAGCTTCAACTCTTAGATGAATCTATCAGCTTTCGCAGTCTAGACTCGTCCATGAATCTGATGCCGACAATATCGACTGATATCGCTGTCGCAACATCGATCGATATAGCTTCAGATCGAGTTGAAAATAGTGTCCACCAAGATCATAGACCCGTTCTTGCTTATCCCTAGAGGATCTTAGCTTGTACATGATGATATCAGGATGATATCAGGATGAAGATTAATAAATTAAGCTATTCCAGTTCATGGTTCTAGTTCATGACTCTAGAAACAAGCATTAAGAAAATCCTAACAATGAATATCACAACTTAACAATCTATAGTTGGGGCTAATCCCACAACCTATCTGAACCCTAAATCCAACAGGTGGATCTATCCAGACATGAAGATTGTCATAGAAATCATAGATGAATAGATATAAAACTGAAATAGAATAGATATAAAAACCAATAGAGTTTCAGGAGGACTCTGATAGGATTTCCTCCCTTCTCTCCTAACTAAGAGAAACAATAGATCAAAAGAAAACTTAGTGTGTAGCCGTCAACAATGGCTTAGAAATAACATAAATAGGGTTTCAAGTTGTCAAGGGTATTTTGGTAACTTGTGGGCTTCAGTCGGTTATGAAATATAGTCAGCCCACGTTCTGGCATTCATATCGATCGATATGAAGGCTTTCCCATCGATCGATATACATTCCTCTTCTCGACAGCCTTCTCTCGCAAGGCAGACTGACCACGCTTCAGTAAAACGGGCATAACTTCTGATTTAACCGTTTGATTGACCTCAAACCAGTGGCATTGGAAAGCTAACTCAAAGCTCTATCATGTGAAAAAATATGGGCTCAATCGCACCATGGGAAGGTTTCCATCCAAATCTAAAAATCTGACGCGTCTGCGCAGTTCTGCACTTAAAGGCTCCAAAAGATACCAAAATCACCATATTTCTCCAGAACGTTCCTCAACCTGTAAATACTCAAAATAGACTCTATATTGTAGTAAATATATATTAAGAAACCTATAGACCATGGTTAAAAATGGGTCAAAACCATGGTATATCAACTCCCCCAGACTTAACATTTTGCTTGTCCTCAAACAAACCATTAGTTAGTCTTTTGGAAGAAGTTTTAAAACAGTAGCGGCTCAATAAAATCTTGACTTTAAAATCATCACCTCTACTTTGTTGCAAGACACATCTCATATTACTAACTACAGAAGCACATTATACCATATCCTACTTTAGCAACCAAATTCAACTAGCCAATCAACTTAAACAATCATGTCTGCCTATCCCCTCTACTGATTTCATTTATGCATAAAATAAATATGTAGGCTTTACCTTGGGAGTATCAATCAAAGAACACTTGGATTCAACTCAAACAGGTTTCAGGATTTTTTATCCTGGTTCCTTTTCTCCCTATATGTCCCTTCTCTGAATCCCAAGTTTTTCTTTTTCTTTTATATCAATCCCAATGAACAACTAATGTTCATCTTATTGATCTTTCTATTTTTTTGTGGTCTTTTTGACAAAGTGTAGGCGAATAATGGGGTCATAGGTAATTTACCTCTCCCTCGCTTCCACAATGTGTGATCATTCCTTTGAATTAGAATAGTGGGGTCATGGGTAATGTACATCTCCCTCTGTCTCTCAGGAAATCATCTCAATATTTTGTTTTTCTCTTTATGGAATGCCAAAGGAAGGAGAGAAAGAAACCAAAATTGTTGAGACTTTTACCTTCCAGACTTGCATGAGGATTCCGATCCCTTGTATACCAATCCCAAGACAAGCAATAGATGTCAGGTTAGGTTGGAAATCAGCTTTGGTTCTTCCAAACAATCATGAAAAATGTTGTCATATGATGATCGGTGATCCACTTTAGCATCTATAGTACTTTCTATAATCAACAATTCTAAGAATGGTGCTAAAGAGTGGTAAGATAAAAAGCAAAAATTTTGAAATCTTTTTGTCCCTTTCTCGACTCAATAAAACCAATTTTTGCAAACTTTTTAATGAGATCAAAAAGGTAAAGTAGCATCAGTAATTCCACTCCACCAGACTTAAATCATACACTGTCCTCAGTGTATAACTAGTCAGAGTTAGAGCATAAGAAATAATAAATGTATAACTGATATAGAAATTGTGAACGATATACGTGACCGAATTAAGTATCGATCAATGAAAAAGAGTTACCATCGGTCGCTGCAAGTGTTGTACTGTCGATCGATATCGACTGTTTCTCGTCGGTCGATTATCATGGTAATCATCTACTCAGGTCTGCTTTTCTAAATATCTAACTAAGCACACAATATTAGTAAAACCTCCCCTAGACTTAAATAACACTGTGACCAATGTTATACAGCCTAAGATTGGTGGGACAATAAACCATAAGGAAAATATGTAACAAAGAAAGACTGTATACCTGCTTTGATGTGAGTATAGATCAACACAGTTAAGTGGCGATCGATATTCTTGATGCTATGTCGATCAATGCTAGCGAGTCATCGTTGATTCTTATGCAAATTCATCTTCCTTGAAACTTTTCCTAATACCTAACAGCGGGTTGCCTCCCACGCAACGCTTATTTTTAGTCATTAGCTTGACTTCTGGAGATCTGATTCACTCCGGATAAGAATGAGAACTTGCTCCAATTCAAGTCTCAGTATCTACTTTTTGAAGTTTTATCATTCTTGTGTGAAATCCTCCTCCATAGACTTTTCTCCTTTTTCTATCATCTCAGCAATAAAGAGTGCTTTAAGCTTTGCATATGGATGTGAGAAGCATCTGTTGCGCACTCTTGATCTTCTGATACTATCTGAAAAGTAAGGAGTCAATGGTAACTGAGAACCTCCTTTAGTTCGTTTCTGCTTCTTCCAATTTCTCCCCTTCTTTCGCACAGACTTGTGTAATCTCACTTTGGATTTCCTGACATCATCTGAGAAGTGAAAAATCAATGATAACTGAGAACCTCCATTGATTCTTTTTCTCTTCTTCCAATTCATCCTCTTCTTCCCCCCAGACGTTTCTGAATGCGTGGTGGTATCTCCATCAAAAATATTTCCACACACTTCATACTCATTCTTCTCTGATTCGCGGCTGGTATCGATCGATGAACCAGTGGTAGTGTCGATCGATTGTGGATTGATGTCGATCGATGGTGTCTGGTCAGTGTCGATCGATGTTTCGTCTGCTGGGGTTTTATCGACTTCATCTCTAAATCTCAACCCTCGATGTGAAACTTCTACGTGCTGATGATCATCTAATACTCCACTATAGGAACTTAACTCCATACTTTTATCTGGTGGGATAGGAGATTCAACTTCAAACACCGCATTTGGAACCATAATCTTAACAGGATCATGTATCCTTTTCACTCTTTTGTGAAACCCATCAGCTTCTTCTGTCTAAATAGGTGGTCTCTGATGTTTAGGGACAATAATGTGTGAGGCTTCAGAATTATGCACTATCTCCTCAACTGGTTCAAGTTTGACTATGTATCCTGGAAGTTCTTCCAACCATGGTTGTTGATCGATACAGTCGGGTGGGTATCGAACGATGCACTCGGGTGAATGTAGATCGATGGGAGACGGTGACTGTCAATCGATGTCGTAGAGTGGCTGTATATCGATGATGCATGGAGGGTATCAATCGATCTCATCAGGTGGTGTCGATCGATGCTAGCCTTTGATGAAGTCTCTCCATCTTTCCTCTTATCATTCTGTTTCTCATCAAGCTTCTGCTCCAAATTCTGATCTATATCCTCAAGCCATTCTTTCAGCTCCAAGAAGTCTTCTATAGTAACTTCTTTACTTGAATCCAAATCTCCAAGATCCTCTCCATTCTCTATGTTTACATCTAGGGAAGGAGAACTTGATACATCAGTGCTCTTCTGTGTCGGACAGTTCTAACTTTCAGGGATTTCAAGTGGTATCGATCGATGACAAAAGTCTTTATCGATCGATTCTGAGATGCTGGTGTCGATCGATGAGGTGGTGGTGATGATCGATGCTGCAGTCGTACTGTCGATCGATGATAAGGGACTGGTGTCGGTCGATCCTAAGGGACTGGTGTCGATCAATGTGGAGGTCGGATCTTTAATATCAGCGTCTTCTACTCTGCTCAGTTCTCCAGACTCATCTTGTTCATCCTCCTCAAACAAACTATGGTTGACCAGATATTTTCTGTTCAATTCACCCCTCTGCGTACCCTCATCTGCAAGTTGAACCTGAATGTCTAACTTGTTGATATGGGTTCTAATGGTTTCAGATTCTTTCTTTGGCTCAATGTAGACAATCATCCTCTCAAGACCGAATCGAGATCTAAATTCCTTCTCACTAGCTTTAGTCATCTCGTCAAGCTTCTTTTGTCGCTCTGCTGCACCTTGAAAGAGAAATTTGTTGAGGAAGACAGTTTTGATGTCCTCCCAGCTGGTTAGAGATTTTGGCTGCAGCTTACTGAACAAGCTAAACACATCTCCGGATAGTGAATAGGGGAAGATCTTGCAGAGAATGTGGTATGCGGATATTAATTTATGTCTAGTTGCTGAAACTACCTCCACAAGTATCTTAATATGATCTCTGGGGTCCTCATAAGGAAGACCCTGAAAAGGGTCCTCGCTTCCCCAATCATACCACTGGCTACTTAGATCAAAGGTGTCCATTTTTGGAAAAGAAATCACATCAGGA